TATTAGATATTTTTCTATAAATTAAAATCTGTAACCTTTGGGCAATAGTTTAAATTAGATATATATTCTTTTGGCAAATTAGTAGAACCTTAGAACCTTTTTGTTGTTACAGTTGTTGTAGATACTTGAATACAGATGCTTCAAAGTACTTCTAAGTATTCCTCAATATTCCATTTAAGTTTACATTGTTATCAAGATTCATTTAGTTTGTCCGTCTTTAACAAGATCTAATTTCAGAGTTTTTGGTTCATAATCGATTGGCAGTTTCTTCAGTTAAAAATTTTGTGATATAAATTTTGAAAATTTATTTAATGTTTGTGTTAAGCTTTTTTTCTTTTTTAATAAAAGCAAAATTAATCACTTAATAATTATAGGTAATTCGCTCCCAAGAAAAATAGTCAGAAATGAATTAGATGTTGTTATAATATTATTTGCTTTTCCAGTTAACATATATTAATATGATTTAGTTCTATATCATAAATCATATATATCAAATCAAACTGCAATTTTGTTGTCCCACTGTGCAGCGACAGCTCCATTTAGTCGCATCCTGTACTCCCCCCCTCCCAGCCTATAAAAGCGCCTGTCAATTTCAGCTGCTGCTAAAATTTGTTTTTAGTTCAATTTTTGGTCAAAATTCTGTGTCCAGCCGTGAAACTGGCCGCATCTATCCGGGCTTGGCCTGTGCGGGCATATTTTATATCAGTTCTTTGGCTGCAGCATTTGCTATTGCACAATATTTTGTTTGTGCTCTTTCCCTTGATGACAAATTCCCATTTTTTTTTTTTTTTGTGGGGCAAGGGCTGCGCCGTGCTTGATAATGGTACCGAAACAGATATACACATATATATGGTCGCTGTGCTCCATTGAATCGGAATCGCTTTGGGGCCTCGCAACGGCGCCTCTAATCGAAAAATCGCGCCACGTTTGTCGCACTTTTGGTAATTAAACTTGGCTGCGATGCATTTTATTGTCGGCTCTCTAATTAGACAGAGAGACAGAGGGTTTAAGAGAGGGAGGTAGCGGGAGAGGCAGTCAGCGTAAGAGAGTTTAGCATCAGTTGTTAAATTTATTACGCAATTTAATGCATATTTAAATATATTGCCAGCCCATAACACAGCCATAAAATATGATCTATAAATTGAAATATAATACCAGCAAAGCGCTGTCATATCAGAGAGCAGCAGCAGCAACAGCAAAGCGACAGCTGATAACCCTCGACTGGCTCCTCATCTCCGGCATAGAGTTGTCTTTGTACTTGTGACTTTCTTTGGCTAGAGATAATTCATGGTGGGCTATGACTTCTCAGACTCTGGCGTAGATAACAACAATGTACAACTCGCAAGCCGGGCAATTGTTGTCGTCTATAGAGGTCGTTGTCGTTATATTATTTATACCAAAGATATTTTTATATATGCATGCGCTAAATATATATAGATGCAAATGGTAATTAAAATAAACCATTGTAGGGTTATAGTTAATTAACCATTGATTCACAAAAAAATATTGTTAAATTTATCAAGTCAGGAGTCTAGGTTAAGGTGCCACGAGTTTTTCATTAAAAAATTGCCTAAAAATGGTTAAACGCAAAAAATGAGTCGATGATTCTTAAAAATATTAAGCATGAGTCCTAAGAGATTAAAACACAAGGTTATCATAAAATTGGATTTAGAGTTAATATAGTTAGCATAGAGATTAGAGATTTGGTGACGCATTTGACAAAAAATAAATGTTTAAAGGTTTCGTAGATCAAACATATTTAAAAAAAAGTATTAAAAATTTAATCAAAACGGAAATAGATAAAAATAAACGTAGACTTATTTTTTTTTGCAATGTTTGGATCGATGTTAATCTATAAGTTTGATAAAAGGCTCAAGAAGGAAGGAAGTTAAATAAAATTGTTTAACTCAGGAACTGTTAAAAAGTTGAATTTATGCTTCTTATGATGATAGAAAGATTTAAAAAATTATAAAGCTAGGCATACTAAATAAAGCTTCAATAAGTTTCTAAAAGATATTCGGATAATTTGTCAATAATTTTTAAATGAATCAATTTCCAATATAAAATTTTAACTTAAAAGCCAAGATTTGTATGAAATGGCATAAAGCATCAAAATGTCTTCAGTTTTGACACAGTTTCGCTTACGGTTAGCTTGAAAATGTTTCATTTTGACTTTTTACATTTTCCATTAAACTAAAACGTGTTATTACTGCGCTTAATAGAGCTTGTTCACGGATAACTGGCAAACTAGGCTGGCAATTTTTGTTGCTGCTGATGATAACAAAAAAGTGTCCTGCGGGTTGATGCAGCAGCAGCAACAGCAACAACAGACTCCAAATAGGAAACCCGGGCGACTACTGTTGCCTGTGCCACACATGCCTAAATATGAGGTAGCATTTTGCGTTGTTGCTATTTTTACAGCCTCGCACACACGCATGCACACACACAAACACACACACACAGGCACACGCGCGAGGGAAAAAATAGTAAAATGGAAACAAGTTGAACAAGTTTCCGACACCTTAGCACCAGCCGAAAAAACAAAAACAAAAAAATAGGAAACAATGCCAATGTGTTGGGACTTTGTCTTCGTCTGCGTTGTCGTGGAAACCTACTCAGAGCCAGAGCCAGGTCTGGTCAAGAGCAGGAGAAGATGTGGCAGGGGGCGGCGAGGGGCACTAACTTAGTTACCTTTATGCTCTTGGTGAAAAAGAAGGGGGGGGGGGGGGAAAGGCGTATTTTTCTCCACCTTTGGCAATTCACTTTTGGGCTTAGGCCTTTCTGTATATTTGTTGCCGATGACGACTGGCCAGGACGTGCGAATTGAGAATTGAGAATGGGGTGGGCTGCCACCTCAAGCATCTGCCGTTCATGTGTGGGCGCGCTGTGGCCGGCTCTGTGTCAGTTAATGAAAAAGTTGGCATGAATAATAAATGCATTAGACGAAAACTTGCTGCATACAAACAAAAGTTTGCGCCCGTTGCATACATATGCGATATATAAATAATAAATTTTCAAATGCCACGCACTGTGGCAAAGTCAAGCACACCCTGCGCCGCAGCTCGCCTGGCATTTGTGAATGGCCTTGGCCTTAAAGCAAAACAAATACAAAAAGGAGAACAACTGAAATTCAAACAGCTTCCAACTGAAGATACTTCAGATGCATATATAGAAATAGCACCCAATTGCATTTCACGGCTTGTCTAAACAATGCCTGCACTAAATATAACTTGGCTCTCACTCTCTCTCTCTCTCACTTCACACACTTGAGCCGCCAGGCGAATTGCCTAATGTATCTTAAAGTGCGCGATCCTAACGTATATGTATCTTTATCCTAGCAATGTGTTAAACATCTTTTAGCGTTGACAAAATTGCCTAGCAGACTGCCTGCCCCTGTTCCCTACCCCCGTTGCACGAACCGCCTTTGCATTGCAGCTGCAACAATTAGAAGTTGCCTCGCAATAGGAAACGTATCTGACGGATGCGCCTTCAAAGTTGTTGCTGCCGCTGCTGATGGCAGCGCGTGTGAGTTAAGAGCAACAACAACGACAAGAACAAATGGAAATGCAGTTGAAAGCGGGAGAGACGCAACGATGGGCGATTGTTGACTGATGTTGGGCTAAAGAGCGCGGAGAGAATGAGGAGTGGAAAGAGAGAGAGAGAGCAGCCTAAGATATTTATGCTTATCATTTTAGAAGTTAACTAACACGAATTTGGATTTTAGCAAAAGAATGTTTACGTTTTTATAGATATGAATGGAAATTATACAAATTTTGGGTTTGGTACCTAATTTTTCCTTACAAATTTCATAGAGTTTTCGGTAATAAAGCTTATAGAAACAAAAAACTTTGCTTTGGCCATTGTGTGTTTATTTTCGATGGTAAGACTTACAGGAGAAAAGTTTTACTATTATTATTAAATATCTTTATTCTTGAATTTCTTTTCCTACGCTTTTTGTTATCAAAAACAAAGCACAGGACAGAAAAATTTGTGAATAATTAAGCTCCCAAGTTGACTTTTGTTATAAATATTTAAGACGCATTGTCTTATACAATAATATTTATATTTTAAATATGTAGAAGAGCTTAAGGTTTAGATGTGTAGCTTACGATAATTTTATTTTATTTCTATTCTATTTTATTATATTATATTTCAATGTATTTTATTTCTGGAATCTCAGATCTCTTTATAGAAAAACATGGATTTAATTAAAAAACACTCATATATTAAATTAAGTATTATTTTTGCCTGCCCAAAAATCGGCATCATTGTGCCTTAATTCTTATAAATCTTTTGCTTATTCATAACTTTCCGTTTAATTCATAAATCCGAAATAAAAAGCCACTCAAAAAGTGACTCAAAACACGCGCTCACATTCTCTCGCAACTCGTGGCTCTCTTTTGCGGCGGCACACTAGCGCCATTTGGCCATGCAGCGGCAAGAAATGTAACTAACGCGAGAGCGCAAGAGAGTGTGGGAGAGTGGCACCGTGCGAGAGCAGTTTATATCGTGTGCGTTGTCGTGTTCGTTCTAAAGCAAAAAACCCACCCGACGAGCACATGCGCCTCCTTCGTGCCTGTCGCGCTCTCTCGTTCTCTCACACACAAACGGGCTCGTTTGCACTCTCTGTATGTGACTGCACATTGTATCTTTGCAGTTGTTCGGCTGTTGGATATTCCTATCATCGGTCTACGGCCAGTTGGTTAAGCGAACCAACAAACAGTTCGAGTGCGAGCGCCGTACGGTACGGACGTGTGGAGCACGCACAAAATTCAAATAAAAACACAATACAAGAGAAAAATAATCGCAAAGCGTTTCAAACGATGATGAAAATGAGAGTTGAGAAATTCTAAAATGAAAACATGAAATGAATATAAAATAAAATGGTGAAGTGCATGAAATAATAAAGCAAATATAAATACAAGTATTTAAAAATTCTTGTTTATAAGTGCTGTGCGTAGAATTGAAAGGCTATCAAAAATTGAAAGAAGAAAAAAAACGTGACAAAAAAACCAATTTAAAAATGTCAACTTCAATTAAAAACTGAGCAGTGAAAACGCGATAAACGTAACGTGAAAAATATCAAACGTAATACCTAGGCAACAGCCCCACCACCCCATCCCCTTCAAATTCCCAACCCAAACCCAAGCCAGAACATGGAGCTGCGGTTACTTCTGTTGCTGCTCCTCCTAAACGGCAGCTGCCTGTGCGCTCTGGCGCCCAAGGATTCGGCCAGCAGTGATAATAGCGCTGCCAGCCATGCAATGCTGGGAGGTGGCGCCGGCGCCGCCAGCGTTAGCCTCTCCAACGATTATAGCTCACTGCTGGCCGCCGCCATGCAGCCGGTGGCCTCGTCCCCGGCACCGGCACACAGCGGGCCAAGTAATCAGTGCACCTGGACATATAACGGCACCAGCTCGGTCTACTGTGCGCTGCGCTTAATCGAGCGTCAGCCGGGCCTGGATTTGCAGGGTGCCGATGGCAGCAGCCAATTGACCATCAAATGCAGCGATTTGTATCTATTTGAATCCCAGCTGCCGATGGCTGTGTTTGCCCGCCTGCAAACGCTGGACACGCTGCGTCTGGAGTCCTGCAAGCTGCTGCAGTTGCCCAACAATGCCTTCGAGGGCTTGAGCACACTGAAAGCTTTGAAGCTGAGCACACGCAATGCCGAATGGGGCCCGGCCAAGGCGCTGGAACTCTACCCGGACTCGTTAAATGGACTGAAGCAGCTGACAGAGCTGGATTTGAGCGATAATAATTTGCGTGCCCTGCCCGCTGGCTTCCTGTGCCCCGTGGGCAATTTGCAAACGCTCAACCTGACACGCAATCGCATACGCACCGCCGAACAGTTGGGCTTTGCCGACATGAATTGCGGCAGCGGGGGCACTGGCAGTGGCAGCGAGCTCCAGCTGCTCGATGCCAGCCACAATGAGCTGCGCTCCATTACGGAAAGTTGGGGCATCTCGCGGCTGCGTCGCCTACAGCATTTGAATTTACAGCATAATAATATCTCGGAGCTGTCGGGTGAGGCGCTGGCCGGTTTGGCCTCGTTGCGTATTGTGAATCTGAGCAACAATCATCTAGAGACGCTGCCGGAGGGTCTGTTTGCGGGCAGCAAGGAGCTGCGTGAGATACACTTGCAGAACAACGAACTGTATGAGCTGCCCAAGGGGCTGTTTCATCGTCTGGAGCAGCTGCTTGTGGTGGATCTGTCGGGCAATCAATTGACCTCCAATCATGTCGACAATACCACATTTGCCGGACTCATACGTCTCATAGTGCTTAATCTGGCGCACAATGCGCTGACACGCATCGACTATCGCACTTTTAAGGAGTTGTATTTTTTGCAAATACTCAATTTGCGCAATAATTCCATTGGCCATATCGAGGATAATGCCTTCTTGCCGCTCTATAATCTGCACACGCTCAATCTCGCCGAGAATCGCCTGCACACGCTGGATGACAAGCTCTTCAATGGTCTCTATGTGCTCTCCAAGCTGACGCTTAATAATAATCTTATTAGCGTGGTGGAGCCAGCAGTCTTTAAGAATTGTTCGGATCTCAAGGAGCTCGATCTTAGCTCCAATCAGCTGAATGAGGTGCCGCGCGCTCTACAGGATTTGGCCATGTTGCGCACCTTGGATCTGGGCGAAAATCAAATACGCACCTTTGACAATCAAAGCTTCAAGAATCTGCATCAATTAACCGGTCTGCGTCTGATCGATAATCAAATAGGGAATATAACTGTGGGCATGTTTGCGGATTTGCCACGTTTGAGCGTCTTGAATCTGGCCAAGAATCGCATACAGAGCATCGAGCGGGGCGCGTTTGATAAGAACTATGAACTGGAGGCGATTCGCTTGGATCGGAATTTTCTCTCCGATATAAATGGCGTGTTTGCCACACTGGTCTCGCTGCTCTGGCTGAATCTCTCCGAGAATCACTTGGTCTGGTTTGATTATGCATTTATACCCTCCAATCTCAAGTGGCTGGATATACATGGCAATTATATCGAAGCATTGGGCAATTACTACAAGCTGCAGGAGGAGATACGCGTCAAGACCCTCGATGCCAGTCATAATCGCATTACGGAAATTGGCCCAATGTCCATACCCAATACCATTGAGCTGCTGTTCATAAATAACAATCTAATTGGCAATGTTTTACCCAATGCCTTTGTCGACAAATCCAATTTGGCACGCGTCGATCTCTATGCGAATCAGCTGAGCAAATTGCAGCTGCAACAGCTGCGTATCGCTCCGGTGCTGGCGCCCAAGCCCCTGCCGGAATTCTATTTGGGCGGCAATCCCTTCGAGTGCGACTGCACCATGGACTGGCTGCAGCGCATCAATAATCTGACGACACGCCAGCATCCGCGTGTCATGGATATGCCAAACATTGAGTGCGTCATGCCGCATGCTCGCGGTGCTGCAGTGCGTCCGCTAAGCGCGTTGCGTCCACAGGACTTTCTCTGCCGCTACGAATCGCATTGCTTTGCGCTGTGCCATTGCTGTGACTTTGATGCCTGCGACTGCGAGATGACCTGCCCGCACAATTGCACCTGCTATCACGATCAGATTTGGTCCACCAATGTGGTCGATTGCGGCAATCAGTTGACCATGGAGCTGCCGCGTCGTGTGCCCATGGACTCGAGCATTGTCTACTTGGATGGCAACAATTTCCCGGTGCTCAAGAATCACGCCTTCATTGGACGCAAAAATCTGAAGGCCTTGTACGTGAATGGCAGCCAGGTGGCAGCCATACAGAATCGCACTTTCGCCAGTCTGGCCACACTGCAGCTGCTGCAGCTATCCGATAATCGCCTGCAGACGCTGCATGGTTATGAATTTGAGCAATTGTCCGCCCTGAGGGAGCTGTATTTGCATAATAATCAACTGGCCAACATTGAGAATGGCACGCTGGCGCCGTTGGTTTCCTTGGAGCTGCTGCGTCTTGATGGCAATCGCCTGGTCACATTGCCCATCTGGCAGCTGCATGCGACACACTTTGGTCAGCGACTGCGCGCCATATCGCTGGGCCGTAATCAATGGAGCTGCCGCTGTCAGTTCCTGCAGGCGCTCACCTCCTATGTGGCAGACAATGCGCTGATTGTCCAGGATGCACAGGATATCTACTGCATGGCGGCGCCAAATACTGCAGCTGCAGCTTATGCGGACAGCAGCTCGACGGGCGCTGCCACACAGAAACGGGAATTGGATTTCAATTCAACTGGTGCGGCTTGCACCGACTACTATTCGGGTGGCTCCATGCTGCAGCATGGCATACCCGAATCCTATATACCGCTGCTGGCCGCCGCCTTAGCGCTCATATTTCTGCTGGTCGTCATCATCATTGTGTTCGTCTTCCGGGAATCCCTGAGAATTTGGCTTTTTGCGCATTACGGGGTGCGCGTGTTCGGGCCACGCTGCGAGGAATCCGAGAAACTCTACGATGCCCTATTGCTGCACTCCGCCAAGGATTCGGAGTTTGTGTGCCAGCATTTGGCCAGTGAACTGGAAACGGGTCGTCCGGCGTTGCGCGTCTGTTTGCAGCATCGGGATTTGGCACATGATGCCACACACTATCAGCTGCTGGAGGCGAGTCGTGTGTCCCGGCGTGTTGTCATCCTCTTGACACGCAATTTCCTGCAAACGGAATGGTCACGCTGTGAGCTGCGCCGATCCCTGCACGACGCACTGCGGGGTCGCCCACAGAAGCTGGTCATCATTGAGGAGCCCGAGGTGGCCTTTGAGGCGGAGAGTGACATTGAGCTGTTGCCATATTTGAAGACGTCGGCGGTGCATCGCATCCGGCGCACCGATCGTCATTTCTGGGAGAAGCTGCGCTATGCTCTGCCCGTCGACTATCCCACCTATAGGGGCAACAACTATACGCTGGACCATAATCACGAGCGCATCAAGCAGCCGGCCAGTCCGGGTCTGCTCTATCGCCAGGCACCGCCGCCTGCTTACTGTGGACCGGCGGAGGCGGCGGCTGCAGTGGCTGCTGCTGCTGCCGTCGCTGAGCAAAACTATTCCACGGCTACGACGGCCACGCCCAGCCCCAGACCGCAGCGACGCGGCGAACGTGAGGGTGTGGGCGTGGCGGTTGGCGTGGGCGTCAATCCAGGCGGGCCGCATCATTTGCATGCACAATATTATCAACACCATGGCATGCGCCCGCCCTCGGAGCACATCTACTCCAGCATCGATTCGGACTACTCCACGCTGGACAACGAGCAGCACATGCTTATGATGCCAGCTGCCGGAGCAGCAGCTCCGCTCGAGGCACAGCAGCGGGCACAGACCTGGCGACCACAGCCCAAGCAGCAGCTGCAGACGGCACATGCGGGCACACTCGGTCCCAGCACAGCGGTCAAGTCCAATCCTCAACAGCAGCAACAGCAGCAGCAGCAACAACAACAGGCGAGTGGCCAACAGCAGGGCCCACATGTGCAGGCGTATCTGGTATGAAGAGAGGGACAGCGTAAGTTGGAGCAGGAGACGTATTAAGTGAAAGAGAAGCAGATATATATGTTGGAGGATGCCTGTCCAGCAGTTGGACAGAGCGACAGTGATTTCTATAGGGACTGGTTCCTGGTGCATCATTTTAATTACTAAAATATGTGCGAGCTAAAATTAAGAGAAAGGGCGAGAGACAGCAAAGGGTGCATTAGAGAAGGAGACAAAGAAAGAGAGAGTGGGAGTAGGAGCGGGAGTGGGAGAAAGAGAGAAAGCGAGTGCGAGTGCGAGGCAGCTAAAGTAAATTATAAATTCTGTCTAGAGTCCAAAATTGCAGTTATACAAACCCAAAGAAAAACCTAACATGGCGCACACACTAAAAGCGAACACCCCCGCACTCAGCCCCCAGCTGTATCCCCCCTTCAAACCCATTCAGGAAGTGCGCGCAGCGTAACAAATATTTTGTTTACCCAGTGTAAAGTCATTTTAGTGCACTGTACAAACATAAATCCAAGTACATTAAACACATAGACATATACACGGGCACGACCAAAAGATACAGATACAAACTAAAAGATACAAATACAGTTGCACTTGCATTTGTTTGTGTTCTGTTTGCTGTGTTGTGTGTGTTGTGTTGTGTGTGTTGTGTTTATGTAGCAAGTCGCATGTGTTGCATGAATTGTGCTTAGGGGCACGGAGTAGTCAGAATGGGTGAGGTAGAGGGGGGCGTGGCAATGTCAAGTTGTTGTTGTGTGAGCTAAAATGAAGTTTCCACAAAGTTCAGCTGCAGTTGCAGAAAACTTTTGCCAAACGGCATTTTCATTCATTCATTTTCCCTTTAGAGCTGCAAAATGCGTTTAGTGCATTTGCCAGCTAACTTTTTAATATGCTTTTAATCAGTTTGACCAAGAAACAAGCTTAAGATTTATAAACTGCACAAAGATTTTGTATTATAAATGTCCGTCTATATAAACACACTTTGACAATTGACAAGGTGTATTTAAATAATGCTAGCAAAGTTGATTTAATTTATAAATGACTTATCTTTTCAAATTGTCAGTTTTATTTCTTAGAAATCTGGTATTGACATAAAAATTAATTAATACAACATGTTGTAATAGTTTTGGTTATTTTAAATAATTTTTTCATTTCAAATTCACAATCCGAAAAGTTTTCTGTCTCGTCAAAAACTTAGCAATTTTAGCCTAATTTACTGAAATCATTTTATAAAATGTGCTGCCAAATTTCGTTTAACTATCTTTAAGGTAAAGCTAAAACAAACATTTATTTGACTATTTCTATAGAGCTTTAAAGAAAACTGCCGCCTATTCATTGCTCTGCTCTCCACCCTTTGCTCCCCCTTACAGCGCAAATCCTCGTATATGTATATAAAGAAAACACGCCTAAAATAGTTATATAGATATGCCTAAATATAAGTAAATGCCACTGCAAATACGTAGTCTCCTTTAATTAATTAAATACACACATACATCTACACTTACACACACATGCAGAGAACTTGAACTTGTGTAAAAAAAAAACCTTCAACAATTAGCTAGCAAACGTAAAAAACTCTAAATAATAAAACCAACTATGCAGTAAAGCTCATTTTAAACACTTACGCTTACCAAAATATTGTAATAATAATATTAATAATAATAATATCAATATAAAATAATAATAGAAGTTTCATAAATGGGTTAAACTACATGGCGTATACACAATATAAACACATGCATACAAAAATACTAAATATATATATATATATGTGACTGTAAAAACAAAAGAAAATACTAACTGATATTATAAAAAACAAGCCTATATGAGATAAACTTTATATATATATGTACACATATATCCATATATATGGTATATACACAAGAGTAAATGTTTAACAACTGCCTATAGCAAGTACGAAAGATACCAACACTTAAGAGCATTTATTTCAAAGCAACAAAGTAAACAAAACAAAAAATTATGAAAATTAAGAAAATTAAGAAAATTACGTATATGTATATGTCATATTTTGGATCATAAACTCGCCTACTCGTCATACAGTTTTAGCAAAACAGTTTCAAACTAAGCAGCATATATATAAATACAAATAAAACAAAAAAAGCGAAGCAAATTAGAAAGAGTTAGCAGAAGTTAGTTAGCTAGAGACAGAGAGAGAGAAGCAGTGAAAGTTGTGGAGAGAAGCAAACACTTGTACCAGTATGAAAGCCCAAAACTGTTATTTATTTTTATTTTGTAATATATAATATACCTTAAAAAACAATTCTAAGTTCTAAGTTATAATTTAATGCCACTCTTATATATATATATATAATGTACTCTATGAATAATTCGAATTCTTGTGAATAACTATTTATATATTGATATATATATATATATATATATATATATATATATATAACTATTATATACATCTATGTACGACAAAACAAAGATATTTTTCTGTTTCGCAAGCGAACAAATGCAAAATGAAAAAATGAAATGAAAAACCTTTTTTTAAAAACTAAACAAATTTGTCAGTTTTATATGTTGAGAATTTGGGTTGGGACTCCGAGTTTATAATTGGGTTTTTTCGGCATAAAAACTTACTAAAATATGTGCTTTGAGTTGATCTTGATTCTTTTTTGCAGCTTATTAAATAATTATTTATAAGTAATAATGTTTCCCATAGTCAGCAACTCAGGAAAGAACTTTTCTTGTTAACTTTATATTGATAAAATATAAAGTAAGAACTTTGTTTTCTGACTTGCTGATAATAATGATGTTGGGCTGGACTTCCTACTTTACGATTCGCTTGTAGAGGGTATAATATCATAATATATGTAACGCATACGAGACGACATCTCAGGATCCATTAAGTATATATATTCTAGATCAGTTGATATAGCCATGTACATCAGTCCGTCTGTATGTTTCTAGTCTCTCAGTCTTGAGGCTATCGCCTTGAACCTTTGCATAGGCCCGTCTTCCTTTTCGCACGTCAGAAAGTACGAATGTATGAATATAGCTGCTAAAGAACCAACTGATCCACTGTATTTTCATCAAACTGATTATTAAATCGACCACGTGACGAAGATATCCTTTCTTCCTCAATTTGTTCTAAAAATCCAAAACAATATTAAGTGTTCTTTTATGAACATTACATATTATTACAAAATTGTTGAGTTCGAGTTCATTTTGCTAATGCAAAAACTTAAAACTACATTTGTTGCTGCTGATAATGTTGGGGCAGGTTTTTAATATGTGAAAAACCTTTTATAATAAAACGAAAACCAAGCCGCGTTTTTGATAATGAGAAAAGAGTCTATTCCATCTGTGGCTGCCTATGCGCTTGGTGTTTTACAATTTCAGACAGGTTTTTTAGTTACTTTTTTTGTAAATATATTTTTTTGCTAATTTAATTCATCATGCACATGAGTTGCTGTTTTGTAATCCTCACGCAGTGCGGCAACTCTGTCAGATGGAGCGGTGCTTGCGGAGAGGGAGATGCTGCACGCAGTCGGCGGCCTGTCAAAGTCAACTGAGCAAACGTAACTCAGATACACGCCGCGCACCAAAGTGATAAATCATTTTTTGTTTTCTCCCTCACTCTCTATAATGTAAATATATGTGTATATATATGAAATATATAAAACCAAAATACAAATGCGCCTCGCATTGCAGACATATTCCATGCCTCCAGCTCCCCTTTACCCTTTTATCCTATACTCTTTCATAGTTCTACAGTGGTTGGTGCTCTCGGTATGGTCCGCTCTGTCTGGTTGTCAGTTGAGTTTTGCGGAGTGTTTGTCTGCCTAAATGACGGCATGTCTGTGCATCAAATTGAAGGGTAGCAAACACACATACACACACACACACACACACACAAGCACACACTCATAGAAATTCTCATAGTCGCTTAGGCACATTCTCTATGACGGTTTTTTGGCATTTATGCCAAGCTCAGCTTCTCGAGTGCTACCAAAGTGCGTTATGCGGCCAAAAAGAGCTGAGTAAGTAAGCAGTAGGCGCTACATTTGATGCCCACAAGTGGCGGCAGAGTTGGTAACAGTATTACAGAACACGTTAAAAAGAAAAGGATACTTGAAAAAAGACACCGACTTTGTCTTTGCCAAGCATTGCACGACCCTAGAGTGTCTTGTGGTAAGGTTTAGGTCTACCAAAGTGGTTTATAATATGAATTGTGTTTAGAGCTGTCTATGGAACAGGTCAAAGAACTGTCATGTACTACTAGGCAAAGGTAAGGATAAGATGTAATAAGCTAAAATTTGTCTTTAAAACTTAAACGTTGTGTATGCATGGCCTCTGTTTAATAGCTAAAACTGCCGATTCTGGGCAAATTAAATAAGGAACAGATAAAAAGAAACTTTACAACTTCACAAAATAAATTTGAAAATTTAAGTAAATAGTAAGTTGACCCGCTCAAGGTCAGTGGTGAACATAACGACCAACAACAAGAAGGTGTAAGCACCAAAAGTGAGCCGGTTGTCTGTGCAGCTCTTTTAAGTTGTATCATTATCTATTCCCGGTTCCATCAACGTCAGAATTTTCCATCGAGTCTAGATTTGCAAGGCATTGTTAGAAGCCAAGGCTATAACCACTTGAGAACTAAACCAATAAAAAAGGCGACGTAGCTGGCAAAACCATGATGCTGCTTATATAAAAACCTATTTTAATTACAATTTCAATTATGTAAGGTATAATTCTTGAATATATTTATTTAAACTAAATTAATAAAATAAAAAGTACAATATTAGTTTGTCTGTCTAAAAAGTTATATTTACTCATAATTTATAGAGTTCATTTCTGCACGTATATTTAATATTATTAAAATTTATTAGTAAGAGCATAATTTTGTTACCTACCTGTATGAAAAATATTAAAACAGAACATTTTCTGAGCAAACGTTAAATTTAAATGATAATCAAACGAAGTAAAACTAAAACGGTTAAGTAAATTTTAGCAACGCACACTTAGAATATACAAAACTATTGTGTTTGTAATTAAAGTTAATTCACAAAATTTCATTATCTAAGTGATTAATTTTTATTGCATCTCCCCATTCTTTACTCGTGTTGCCCACATTCTCTTTATTTTAGTTCGAATTGAGTGCAAAAAAGTAGCTAAATTTTTGCACAACAAACAGTTGCACTCGATTTCGTTGAACATGGCAAATGGAAAAACGATTTTAAAAATAAAAGAGGGGAACCTGCCATTCGTTTGTTTTTCGTCTGTGCCTCCTGGCCCACGGCTTTCCCATCGCCCCCCTACACTGTGCTGCCTGGTGGCAGGGCAAAAGTTTTTTAATTTGCTTTCATTGAGGTTTGTCGTTGGCTGTTTGCGTCAAAAGAGCTGTGCCACACTCTACAACAACTTGCAACTAATAGAATTACACACAAAACCTACAAAGAAACTGCACATACATGAGGTACATAGATACGCACACACACACACACACACACACACACACACACACACACACACACACACACACACACACACACACACATCAGACCTGAAACCCTCCACTGAACGTAACTATAAATGCGTATCTAGATACAAATGGTAACAGACATGAGTTGCTACTGTGCCCGGGCAAACGCCGGCACTTGGATGGGTAGCAGCAGCAGGAAGTGTAGCGTAGAGAGTTTCGGAATGTTTTTTTCCTTTTCGTAAATTTCATTTAAGAATTTTCTTAATTGTTTGCAGATACGCATCTGCTGGCGTTGAGCTACATTTTACTGGAGCACACAAAATCAATAGCTGCCGAATTAGTTGCTCGCACTTTAAATCAATGTAGGCAGGCAACAGCAGCAAGAAATATCGTACAAGATATATATATGGCGTATTACTTACTAGGCAACTGATCAAAATTCAATACATGTTGCAAATATCGAATTTCCATCAAAACAGAAACAAAAACACGCATAAAAAACATTTCGAGGGTTGCTGGAAAAAACACACAGAAAAGCAAAAAAATATATATGTATATATTTCTCATATGGGTAGCTGCTGCTAAAAAAGTAGCTCGGCCTTTTCGGCTCGCCTGCTTATTATGATAATAAATTTTTATGCTGTAACAAATAAAACTGAGTACAGAATGGAGCAGAAAAAGCAAAAATAAAAAAAATTAAATAAGAAAATATATCTGAGACGCCCACACAGAGCGCAAAGTGAATTAAATTGAATTGAAAACTGTTGCAAAAAAAAATACAGAAAAAAAGAATAATAATAATAATAATAATAATAATAAAAAGGTCAGGGGCGAGTGCGGGCGCGGTGCAAGTTTAAACGCTCCGACCGGACCCTGTCAGCACTTGCAATCAAATTATTTAAATGTAATAAAAAAGGTTGCTCAAAATATTTGCTTTGACACCAACAAAATAAGTAAAAGGCATTTCGGGTGTCAAATGTGTGCACAAAATGTGGGCCAGTCATTGCCCAAACATTTTGCATAAAGATTTACTTCAAACTGACTTTTCATATACACACATATATATATATATATATATATGTATATATATATATAAATACATATATATATATACATATACACAAATTGTTGCTGCTGGGCAATTTTTATGTATTTTTTCATACAAAGTAAAACGAGCTTTTTGTCACGTTCCGCGCGTAGAAATAGGCAAATAAATCAGTATAATAAACGCTTCGGTCTCCTGGTAACTGTGTACAGCTCCATATATGCTACTCTATACATGGATATATATATATCTATACATGCATATATACATATATATCTGGCGT